GAGACTGATGAAACCTGTCTGGCATACATAAACTTCCCGAAAATGCCTCTGGACAGCTGGGGTGCACAAGGCTGATTCTGGAAAGCGGCAAAGCTTTGGTAACAAGAACTGCATAAGGGGTAATGTTTAATACGTGCCCCTTACGCTGCTAAAAAAATTATATGGAGAAGAAATTAATAGTCGAGCTCAAACTAGGAGGATCGCCTCCGCAATGACAAACTGGATATCCCCTGAGACTATTCGGGAACGAATACTTAATGGAATTCGGCATAAAGGTGAACCGGAACGGGATCAAATGATTACCGCGCCCCAACCTCAACATCACCTTAGCTGTGGAAAGAAAAATTTAGCAGGTGGTCCCGCGCGTGACGTCGACGGGAAGAAGTACTGCGACGAACAAACAGTACACGAGTAGTGGATGCCCGAACAGTTATTTCCGACGTAGCTCACGTGAATGCCACACAGAACCCACGTAGACACATAGCAGCAACCTGTGGTTAAACTGGCAATGTTAAACTTCATTAGGAGCTGAATAAAAATCGCGTCTTTTCGGTATGGCTAGCTGATGGCAGCATACAATTCGGGAACGATCATTTTAACCTGTTTCATTCTCGTTTGTAATGCAGCTCGAGCCGTTTAATATTGTCCGTCAGGATGTGCAAAAAGTGCCTTAGAATTCGTTACAGAAAGATATTAGTCAGAGGCGTCCCGAAGGGACCAGAACTAAGAGTTATGACACTCGGTTGATGGGGAAGAGGCCCATAGCAGGTAAAAGGACGCATTATCTTACCTCTCCTCCCGGTCGATTATCCGGACACAGTTCACACAGAGGACATTTTGTGTAATCACAGCACTTGTAAGCGTAGAACCAACGCGTTTAATTTTGTCTAACATGGCCTTGTTGATATCATCCAGACCTTTGAAGAAGGTTCGTAGAGTCTAGAAGTGTAGGGGAGGACACGAAATGGATAAAGAGATAGAATAGATAAACCTACATCAAGATCTGCTGACGAGTTCTGTTTGAAGACATCAGACATGATCTCGTCTCGAATGCCCTCCAGTTCCTGTATCCTGCAGAAAGGAAAAGGCAAGCGTATATGCCATAATAAGGAGGTATAAGTTTGATTTGAGAGGCAAAACCGACACAAGAGAGTGTACAAGTCTGTGAAGAAGAAAGATGAGAAAAGCATCAAACACGAACAGACTATTCCGCAAGCAGAACATATGCTGCGAAGAAAACAGTAATGCAAAAATTAGAGGCCTCAGTTGAAAAAATTTGTTGCAGTGACGCATCTCAGGCAAACAGATCTGAAATTCTGGTACATGGTTTCAGTTATTAAGGTTTATCGAGGTGTCCTTCTAATACTAATAATCAAACAACATAATCCCAGGACATTTCAGTCAAGCTGGAATGTCGAGTTTTAAATGGCACCTTCCCAGCATACATCTTATCTAATGGCTTTCGATGTCCTTATAACTTTAAATATAATAGCTATGTAGAAAACATGCACAAAAATAATATATGTTGCACTGCAAAACAGTGCACGACAACTAAGCAGTCGACTGTGTCTGTGTCTAAGAATAACATGTTGTTTTTTTTCCGCACGCTATGACTCATCAAGCATGTATTACAGTGTAAACCAAATTTCACTAACCTTTTGTGCGCTTCCAGTAAGTTCTCAGTCTCAATAGAGTTCCGAGCCTGTTCCATGCATTCAGGCACTTTAACCAGGTAGGACATATTTTCCATGGCCGCGGCAAGCTAAGAGAAAGTATGTAGTAAAAAAGAAAGGGTTTAAAACTCACCTGCCTGTGTTTTGTAGACAACGCTCGAAGCTGAGCCAGGGACGCAGACAACCCCGAAAGGCTTGCTAGTGAGGCTTCAATCTCACCGGACCTAAATTGAGTCAAATTGAATGGATTATACAAAAGCAACTGAACTGGGTGAATAAAGACAAAAAACTCGACTCATGGCGTTAAAGTTAGCAACAAGTTAGCAACCCTTGGTATTGGTGGCGACATTCTGAACTGGATCCGGTCATATTTGAGTGATAGGACCTGGAGTGTCAG